TTTTTTATTAATTTTTTATTTTTGCTCCGTGCTTTATTATTTGGAGTGATATAAATTGGCATTAACATAACTTTTTTTTTCTTATTTCTTAACAAAATTTAATAATAATGTCTATATATATATATGTTGAAATGGAATCAGCWGATTAAAAATATGGAAATATGGAATAAAGAGAATTCATTGAAGAATAATAAATAAATCTGCAGAGTTATCAAATTGATTTTATTAGCCAGGGAACCTGGGACAATCTGTATGAAAAAACTTGAAATATTTTATTTACACATATTTTTAAAAAATTTTGGAAATATTTTGATTTTATTATTAACTTTTTCTGATCATAATTAACCATTAACCTATTTTAAAGTGTTTATTTTGATGAACTTATAAGACAATCATGGCTCGATAATACTTACATAACCAATTGTGCAACCAACTGGCGCCCAAGCGAGGAGCCCGCCACAACAACAATCATCGATTGAGAGCAACAGCAGCAGCAGCATCCACTGAAGCCACATCCCGACAACAGTTACAGCAACAACAACMATTGAGCCACATAACGAACCAAGTTTGAATATACTCGTAAGATTCCTGAGTATATTAGGTAGCAAAATTTTTACGAGCTCATTATGGCTCATTTCGGCGATTGTTGTGATCCTTTTATGCGCCTTCGAATGGCTTCAAATGGTTATGAGGCTATTCGCTGTCTGTCCCTGGCCTCGCAGTCCTGTGCGACTGCCGATGCTGCTGATGCTGCCACAAGGACTCACGATATTTAGTTTGCAGTTGCGACTGCGATTTTTACTTTTGGCTGTCGTTTCGTTTCGTTTCGTTTGGTTTGCTTCGCTTTGCTTTCGCTTTGGCGTTGGCTTTGGCTTTTTTGCTTGGCTTTCCGCTCATGTTACTGTGCAGTTTGTTGTTGCTGTTGTTGTTGTTTCTCTTGGCAAAATGTCGCCGTCTGTCTGCGTATGTGCTAGTATGTTTGTGTGTGCGTGTGTGTGCTTGTGGGGACATCCGTGCGCTGTGTGTGTGCAAGTTTTTGTATCTTTTTCGCATGTTGTTGATTTTAGAGACTTGGCAACGAATACGAGCGACGACTGCGACTGACTGGGCTGCTGGGCTGCTAAGGTTGCTGGGGAGGTTGCACAAAAGTAAATTTCTTCTTATAATAAGTTTATTTTGCAAACACTTGTGGCAAGCAACTTTGTTTGTTCGCCTCTAATCTACGAGCCGTTTGTGCGAATGTGCAAACTTTGACAAATATTTGCAAAAGTTTTTCTCAACTGCGCGAGCTGCGAACCGAGCGCCGATCTCTTTGCATTATGCATATGAATTTATTAGCATCAATTTGGAGACGCATTAATAACGCATCTCAAATATGAAAATATAT